CCCCCATCATTGGTGTCAGTAGGAGAAATAGTGCCCCATCATTGGTGTCAGTGGGGGGAGGAATAGTGCCCCATCGTTGGTGTCAGTGGGGGGAGGAATAGTGCCCCATCATTGGTATTAGTGACACCAATGATGGGGCACTATTCCTCCCACTGACACCAATGATACTTACCTTGCTGACCCCTGCTCCAGCCTGGGCTCGCTCGCTCCCTCCTCTCCCATGGTACAGACACTTACCGGTCAGCTGTCTTCCTTCTCCGGCCGCTCTCCTCCTCTTCACTCGCTCGATCTTCGCGGTGCCGCTCGGCTCCTCCTCTCCAAGCTCCACCTCCTCGCCGGTGATTGGCCCCTTGTGTGCCTCTCCTGAGCTACAGTTCCGGCGGCCAATCACCGGCGAGGATTGATCCCGGGGGTGTGTCCAGATGACAGGGGCGGCATGTCATCCCGCCCACACCTGGAGACGGATAGAGGAGCGGTGTCTCGGTTCCTAAGACCATCGGAAATATGTGTTTTCCGATGGTCTTAGGCGACCCCTGTGAAAGGGTCGTTCAACCCCCAAAGGGGTCGCTACCCACAGGTTGAGAACCGCTGCTCTATAGTATAAGGACGTAGGGTGGTTTTATTAAACACCTGGTCATTTCTGGTCATTGATAGACATAATTAGTTATGAGTAATATTTATACTTTGTGAGGAGGACTTACCACATTCTAAACATTTAAACAGCTTCTCCCTTGTATCAAAGAGAGAACTGCAGAACTACGCTCCTCTGTGTTCCTGAGCATAGGACAGGGGTTGTGTAGTTCCATCCTGTTTCTGTTGTCATAATATAGAAAGGTAACAGATCTTTATAAGCCTTTGTCATCCTAGTACTAGAAAAATTACCAGGTGAAAAAAATGTTGAAAAAAAAAAAAACTACCACAGCCAAAGACTAGTAAACTTCAATATACTAATTTTTTGTTATGTGTCTAAATTGGTGATGTTTCTTGTGTAGAACATCGGAGAGTGCCAAAAACAGTCTGAGTCCAAACTTACAACAAGGAATATCTAATGCATTTCAGAGGCTCAAAGACCTCCCCCTTCAAATTCAGCAATTGCTGATTCACTTATTCAGGCTATACCCTATATAGCTATTAATCAAATATTGGTAATTTGTGCCATTTTTGAGTTCTTATGATTACCCTTGGCAGTTCAAGGGAACTGTAGACCTCCTTTAGAATTCCATTGGAGCACTATACTGAAATTGTCAGTACTTAGTACATGGAGCTGTGGGACCTAGGAAGTTAAGTCATACTGTCCATACAGGACACCCCTTCCTTGGTGCACAACCACACTGCCCAGCCACTGCACCCATCACACTGGCAGGCACATGGCTGAGGAGTTTTGTAGTAGGGATGGGTAAGGCCTGATGGGAACTGAGAGACTAGTTCCCCACCAGGTCCACCTGGCTGTTGCTTGACAGCTCATGGCAGTGGATGCATGCATGGCCGCTATTCAGTCCAGTGGTGGCCGCCAAAGCCGTGTGCTGTGAAGAGGAGTGGATGGGGAACTAGTCTCTCAGTTCCCCATTAGGCTTGACCCACCCATTGACAGAAGTAGTTTCCCAAATATGTGCTTTGCCATATTTACAGTTGCAAGAAAAAGTATGTGAACCTCTTGGGATTACGTGGAGTTTTTGCATGAATTGGGCATAAAATGTGCTCTTAACGTCATCTAAGTCACAACAATAGAAGAACACAGTCTGCTGAACATAATACTACACAAACATTAGATGTTGCCATGGTTTAATTGCACATAACATGTAAATATTCACAGTGCAGGGAGGAAAAAGTATGTGAACCTTTGAACTTAATAACTGGTTTACCCTCCTTTGGCAGCAATAACCTCAACCAAACGTTTCCTGTAGTTGCAGATCAGACCTGCACAACGATCTGGAGTAATTTTGGACCACTCCTCTTCACTAAACTGTTTCAGTGTAGCAATATTCTTGGGATGTCTGGTGTGAATCGCTCTCTTAAGGTCATGCCACAGCATTTCAATCAAGTTGAGGTCAGGACTCTAACTGGGCCACTCCAGAAGGCGTATTCTGTGCTGTTGCAGCCATTGTTTTGTTGAATTACTTAAATGCTTTGGGTCATTGTCTTGTTGCATCACCCATCCTCTGCGGAGCTTCAGTTGGCGGACAGATGGTCGTACGTTTTTCCTGCAAAATGTCTTGATAAACTCTGGAATTCATTTTCCCATCAATGACAACAATCCGTCCAGACCCTGAGGCAGAAAAGCAGCCCCAAACCATGATGCTCCCTCCGCCATGTTTTACAGTGGGGATGAGGTTTTGATGTTCGTGTGCTGTGCCTTTTTTTCTCCACACATAGTGTTGTGTGTTCTTCCCAAACAACTCAATCTTGGTTTCATCTGTCCACAGTATATTTTGCCATTAGTGCTGTGGAACATCCAGGTGCTCTTTTGCAAACTTCAAACGTGCTGCAATATTCTTTTTGGACAGCAATGGCTTCCTCCGTGGTGTCCTCCCATGTACTCCATTCTTGTTTAATGTTTTCCTTATTGTAGATGTGTCAACAAAAATGTTAGCATGTGCCAGAGATTTCTGTAGGTCTTTAGCTGACACTCTGGGATTCTTCTTTACCTCATGCAGCATTCTGCGCTGTGCTCTTGCAGTCATTTTTACAGGACGACCACGCTTTGGGAGAGTAGCAACAGTGCTAAACTTTCTCCATTTGTAGACAGTCTGTCTTACCGTGGACACATGAACATCAAGGCTTTTGGAGATAGTTTTGTAACCCTTTCCAGCTTCATGCAAGTCAACAATTCTTGATCGTAGGTCTTCTGAGAGCTCTTTTCTGAGAGGCATGGTTCACATCAGGCAGTGCTTCTTGAAACCAGTAAACCCAAAACAGGTGCGTGTTTTTTTAAGTGCAGGACAGCTGTCAGCAACACATCCAATATCATCACACTGATTGGAGTCAAGGTTGGCTCACTCCTGGCTCCAATTAGCTCTGGGAGAAGTCATTAAGCTAGGGCCTCACATACTTTTTCCTCCCAGTTCACTGTGAATGTTTACATGTTATGTGCAATTAAACCATGGCAACATCTAATGTTTGTGTAGTATTATGTTCAGCAGACCGTGTTCTTCTATTGTTGTGACTTAGATGACGTTCAGAGCACATTTTATGCCCAATTCATGCAAAACTCCACGTAATCCCAAGGGGTTCACATATTTTTTCTTGCAACTGTCGGTAATGACATCACCAATATTCCCAGCCAGTAGTCCAAGGAGAAAAAAACACAGCTCCAGGTCTCTGCAACAGGATCCAAACATAGAGCTGCTCACCCGGCCCACATCTGGAAACAACAGAAAATCAAAGGAAATGGCTGAACACTCCGCTGGGATGTGTTAATTTATTAGAAAAAATGAATAGACAATTGTCACAACATTTACACACAGAGATGAGGATGTCAGGAGAAAAGTTGACGCGTTTCATGCTCCACAGTGCTTATTCATAACCAGCCCCTTTGTTTAGTTTTAGAGATAATTTAAAGATTTCAACATTCCCTGGCCAACAACTGAATGGGCCTGTGATAGAACCCCGTTGTGGCGGGAGTCACTTTGGGTGGGGACCCATGGAACCCAACTCACTTTGAAGAGGTGGGGAGACCCCTGTCTCAGCTCCCCATATCCCTCTTATGTGTAAATCACCCTGTGCCTATTAGGGGTACAGGGTGATCCGTCCTAATATTGTGTGGGCTTTGTCTCAGACTGTGTAGACATGTTTAGGAGGAGATAGGTGGGGTGGGGTGTGTGGATTGTTTTATGTTATGTGTATTAGCTTAGTGGGGGGGGGGGTCTCCAGCAGCCCTCCCACCTGATAGGACTGTCTGCTGGTGTGAAGTTTGAATACCTGTGTGTCTCTCGTTACTAAATGTAGATTGCCCCGCCCTGTGTCATTATGCAGGGAAGGGGGATTGTCCCCTAAGTGTATATATCTTGTATCTGTGTTCAGATAAACTAGTCTACCTCCTGGTTTACTTCAAGACTGGTGTAGTCTAATCTTGTATGGTCGGCTGTGGTGTCTGTGGTCAGTGTTCGGACAGGAAAGCTGTATTCTAACGGAAGTACTCAAGCGTAGTCTGGGTCGGTTCCATTAAACCCCTGTGCAGGAAGCATACATGATAGTTTTCCAGACCACACACAGCACTGGCATACCTCTCTCTGCCACCTCAAAGATGGTCTTAATTACCACCAGTTTCCTAATCTGCAAACTGGTGGTAATTCTTATAAAATCTGTTGATGCCATAGCAACAGGTTATTAAAGTGATAGTAGTAGTGGTAGTAACTAGAATTACCTGAATTTGTTGCACCTGACAAAAATGTTACCAAAAATTATGCAAATGCTTGACTTAATTAGGTGCAGGCAGTTCTAAAGCCCGCCACATGTGGTTCAGCAGGGACTGGCTGAGATTCGGTCCATATGTGGACAGACCAGCATGTCGGATTGTTAGCATGCGATTATTTCCAGAGGCTATAGATGCTAACAGTAATCACCGTGTTCTCCTAACTGAGAGCCCTTCCCACACAATAGCTCTGTGGGAAGGATTCCCCAATGATGGGGGGTTCGAGTGATTCCCCATAATCTATGGCCTGCCTAAAGGTAACTACTGCCAGAAAAGTATTGCTAGTGCTTTATTGAATTCCCCAGATTATGTTTAAGCCCCGAAGTAGGGATCTTTGAATCCAACACCAACACTTCTTCTCTGCTCGCTCCTAATTAGTAATGTTATCTTTGAAAACAACTTGTTCACTTTTAGAAAGACAAAATGGTTTCTCTTGTGCGTGAGTCTTCTGATGCTGAGTAAGATTGTGCTTATGAGAGAAGCACTTGTCACATTCCGAACATCTATATGGTTTCTCCCCCCCGTGTGAGTCTTCTGGTGTGCAGAAAGACTGGACTTATAAGAGAAGCACCTGTCACATTCGGAACATCTAAATGGCTTCTCCCCCTGTGTGAGTCCTCTGGTGAGCGATTAGAGATTCCTTATATGAAAACACTTGTTCACAGTCAGAGCAGGAAAATGGTTTCTCTTGCGTATGGATCCTGTGGTGTTGGATAAGAGCATTTCTCTGCGAGAAGCACTTGCCACATTCTGAACATCTGAATGGTTTCTCCCCGGTGTGAGTCCTCTGGTGACAGGTTAGTGATGACTTCAGTAAGAAAACCTGTTCACATTCAGAGCAAGAAAACAGCTTCTCGTTTGTGTGAAGCTTTTGGTGTGAAACAAGACTTGCCTTATATGGGAAGCATTTGTCACATTCTGAACACCTAAATGGCTTTTCTCCCGTGTGAATCCTCTGGTGAACAATCAGTGAAGTCCTCCATGAAAAAAACTTGTTCACATTCAGGGCAGGAAAACGGCTTCTCTCCTGTGTGAATATTTCGGTGTTCGGTAAGATGTGACCTGTGTGAAAAGCATTTGTCACAAAATGAACATTTAAATGGCTTCTCTCCCGTATGAACCCTCTTGTGTCTGATTAGGGACGCCTTCCGTGAAAACACTTGTTCACATTCACTACAAGAAAAGGTCTTTCGTGGTGTATGAACAGTTTGATTTTGAATAACATGATGTCTTTGTGAAAAGTATTTATCACCTTCCAAATATTTAACGAATGGATTTTCTCCAGTGTGAGAACTCTGTAGATCACTGAGGTTTGAATTACAGGTAAGGTTTCTCTGGCACTCGGAGCTCTGGTCTTCTACTCGACTCATTATGTTGATGAAGATCTGAGTAAACAGAAAATCTTCGGCTAGTCTCTGTATGGATAAAAAAAGAAATTGTTTACATGGAATATTTCTTTTTTCAGGATTAATGATACTACATGTGCACCTAATATTTATCATTATTGTGAAAACGGATAGCTATTTACCTTCACTAATGAATACAATTAAGGGGATCAGCTTATTGACCCACCACAAAACCAATGTTTAGCCATCTTGTCTACATAGTCTCATAGTTAGTCTGGCTGAAAAAAAGACAAAAGTCCATCCAGTTCAACCATAGAAAAAAAAAAGAAGTTCTAATCCTACACCCACAGATGATCCAGAGGAAGGCAAAAAAAAATAACCCAGCAAAGCATGATCCACTTTGCTCCTACTGGGAAAAAAAATTCCTTCCTGATCTCCCAAGAATCGGATATTCCCTGGATCAACTTTACCTATAAATGTTATATCCAGTTATATTCTGTGTATTTAAGAAACAATCCAGGACTTTTTTGAAGCAATCCACTGAGCTGGCCAGAACCAACCATTGAGGGAGTCTATTCCACATTTCCACAGCTCTTACTCTGAAGAAACCTTTCCGTGTTTGGAGATTAAATTTCTTTTCCTCCAGAAGTAAAGAGTGCCCCCTTGTCCTCTGTGATGACCTCAGGGTGAATAGCTCTATACCGAATTCACTATATGAACCACTGATTTATTATACATGGAGATCATATCCCCCCTTATGTATTATACATGGGGATCATAACCCCCTTATGTATTATACATGGTGATCATATCCCCCCTTATGTATTATACATGGAGATCATATCCCCCTTATGTATTATAGATGGAGATCATATCCCCCCTTATGTATTATACATGGAGATCATATCCCCCTTATGTATTATACATGGTGATCATTTCCCCCCCTTATGTATTATACATGGAGATCATATCCCCCCTTATGTATTATACATGGAGATCATATCCCCCCTTATGTATTATACATGGAGATCATATCCCCCCTTATGTATTATACATGGAGATCATATCCCCCCTTATGTATTATACATGGAGATCATATCCCCCTTATGTATTATACATGGAGATCATATCCCCCTTATGTATTATACATGGAGATCATATCCCCTTATGTATTATACATGGAGATCATATCCCCCTTATGTATTATACATGGAGATCATATCCCCCCTTATGTATTATACATGGAGATCATATCCCCCCCTTATGTATTATACATGGAGATCATATCCCCCCCTTAAATATTATACATGGTGATCATATCCCCCCTTATGTATTATACATGGTGATCATATCCCCCTTATGTATTATACATGGTGATCATATCCCCCTTATGTATTATACATGGAGATCATATCCCCCCTTATGCATTATACACGGAGATCATATCCCCCCTTATGCATTATACACGGAGATCATATCCCCCTTATGTATTATACACGGAGATCATATCCCCCCTTATGTATTATACACGGAGATCATATCCCCCCTTATGTATTATACACGGAGATCATATCCCCCTTATGTATTATACACGGTGATCATATCCCCCTTATGTATTATACACGGAGATCATATCCCCCCTTATGTATTATACACGGAGATCATATCCCCCTTCATGTATTATACATGGAGATCATATCCCCCCTTATGTATTATACATGGAGATCATATCCCCCCTTATGTATTATACATGGAGATCATATCCCCCTTATGTATTATACATGGAGATCATATCCCCCCTTATGTATTATACATGGAGATCATATCCCCCTTATGTATTATACATGGAGATCATATCCCCCCTTATGTATTATACATGGAGATCATATCCCCCTTCATGTATTATACATGGAGATCATATCCCCCTTATGTATTATACATGGAGATCATATCCCCTTATGTATTATACATGGTGATCATATCCCCCTTATGTATTATACATGGTGATCATATCCCCCTTATGTATTATACATGGAGATCATATCCCCCCTTATGTATTATACATGGAGATCATATCCCCCCTTATGTATTATACATGGAGATCATATCCCCCTTATGTATTATACATGGAGATCATATCCCCCCCTTATGTATTATACATGTTGATCATATCCCCCCTTAATCTCCTCTCCTCAAGAGAGAATAAATTCAGTTCCTCTAATCTTTCCTCATAGCTGATCTCCTCCATGCCTCTTATCAGTTTAGTTGCCCTTCTCTGTACTTTCTCCAGTTCCCCAATGTTCTTTTTGTGAATTGTCTAAGAATTACAGAAACTGCTGCAAATTCTAGTATGGACCAGATAAAGGGAGGTGTCGGCTAGTGGGTGGAAAATTATCAAAGAAATCCACCAAGAAAAAAACTTGTTCACATTTACAGCAAAAATACCCTTCTCTCCTGTGTGAATATTTTGATTTTCAGTAAGAATACGCTAGAGTGACAAGGTCAACAAAACCAAGTATAACTAAGGCCATACATGGGTCGATTTTCGAACGATTTTTACTTAAAAAATCAGGCCTAAGAATAATCGGCCGATTTTCGCTCTGTTAGTGGGGCAATGGCACCATCCGATTTTAGTGGTTCCTCCCCATTTCATTTATCAGGCATGCTGGAAAATTTGTGAAAAATGACATTTTCTAAATCATTGGTGGCACCATCGGATTATATTATTATAATACAGGATTTATATAGCGCCAACAGTTTGCTCAGCACTTTACAATATAACAGGAGACAGTACAATTACAATACATTTCAGTACAGAAGGAATACGAGGACCCTGCTCGTGGAGCTTACAATCTAAAGGATTACCCCCCTGAAGATTGCTGTGATATACCGGCCTCCTGGATCCATATCCCGCTCCCTGGATGACTTCTCCTCCTAGCTACCCTTCTTCTGAGCTACCAAACATCATCCTTGGGGATTTCAACATCCCTGTCAACCTCGACAACCCGGCCACATCCCATCTCCTCCACTTAACCTCCTCCTTTGCACTTGCACAGTGCATACAATCCACCACCCACTCCGACGGTAATATCCTTGATCTTGTCTTCTCCAACCGCTGTGCTCCCCACAACCTCATTAACACCCCCTTCCCTCTCTCTGACCACAACCTGATAACCTTCTCTATCTCCTCGTCCTCCAACGCCTACCCCTCCAAATGTCACACTACTACCAGCCTTAACCTCCACAACCTTAACCCTGCCCCCTCCACTCTGCAGCTGATCAACTCCACGACAGCATCCTCCCCCTGTCCTGCCCCGACTTGGCTATGACTGCCTACAACAACGCGCTGTCAACCGCCCTTGACTCACTAGCGCCTTTAACCACATGCAACATCAGACACCAACCGCTCCAGCCCTGGCAGACTGATCACATCAAAACCCTCAAACGACACAGTCATGCCCTGGAGCGACTATGGCGCAAAACCAAATCCCAACAAGCCTTCACCCGCTACATATCTGCCTTCCACACCTTCACACAGCCAAACAAGCCTACTTCCTGACCCTCACCAAGGCCCTCTCCTCCAATTCTCGCAGACCCTTCTCCACCTTCAACTCTCTACTCTCGCCACCCCTACCTCCACCCAGCACCTCACTCACTGCCCTTGAGATTGCCAATCACTTCAAAAACAAGATTGACGCAACTTGCAAGGACATCACCGCAACTCACACGCCCTCTCAACCCGTCCCCTCTCACACAGCTACCCCCTCATCCCCCCTCTCCCTCGACATAACCCGCAGGGACTTCGTCACTGCTCAAACTCCCTCCAACCCCATTCCCCCTCACTCAACTACCCCCTCATCACCCCTCTCCCATGACCCCACCACTGCTCTGACCTCCACTTCCACCCCACCCTACATTCCTCATACTGAAGCCCCCCTAAAACTTCACACCTTTGACCTTACTACCATCAAGGAAGTCTCCAAGATCCTCTCTGATGCCCGCCTCACCACTTGCCCCCTCGACCCTATCCCCCCCACAACTCCTATGACCTCCCTCCCTCTCCATTCTACGCTCCCTACCTCCCTCACCCACACTCTTTGAATCACACACATCACCCCCATACTTAAAAAGCCCTCCCTGGACCCCAGTGACTCGAACAACCTCAGACCCATCTCCCTGCTCCCATTTACATCCAAACTCCCCGAGCGCCTAGTCTACACCCGCCTAAGCTCTCACCTCAATGACAACAACCTCCTCGATCCCCTACAGTCCGGCTTCCGTCCCCTACACTCCACCGAAACTGCCTTACTCAAACTCTCCAACGACCTGCTAACCGCCAAAGCTAATGGCCACTATTCAGTGCTCCTACTCCTTGACCTCTCTGCGGCCTTCGACACAGTCGACCACCCCCTCCTCCTCAAAAAACTACACTCCCTCAGCCTCAGAGACTCTGCTCTCTCTCGGCTCTCATCCTAACTGTCACAGCGCTCTTTCAGCATTATCTATAATGCTACCACCTCCCCCTCACTCCCCCTCTCTGTTGGGGTCCCTCGGGCCCCTTCTCTTCTCCATCTACACCTCCTCCCTTTGGCCAACTCATACACTCTCACGGCTTCAACTACCACCTATATGCCAACGACACACAAATCTATCTCTCAACCCCCCCACCTCACCCCCTCGGTCTCCGCCCGAATCACACACCTACTACATCACTGACCTAATATCCAAGTACCACCCAGCACGCACACTCCGCTCCTCACAAGACCTCCTTTGCTCTAGTTCCCAGGACTTCTCCAGGGTGTCACCCATCCTCTGGAACTCCCTGCCCAACCCATCAGATTATCACCTACTCTCCTCTCCTTTTAGGCGCACCCTGAAAACCCATCTCTTCAGGGAAGCCTACCCTGCCCCCTGCTAACTTGCTGACCTCCTCCACTCTTCCTACCACTCCATCCCCCACAGCTATCTCCTCCTGTGCCACCATCCCCTCCCTCCTAGATTGTAAGCTCGAAAGAGCAGGGCCC